AAGTAAAGAAAGAAACTCTCAGACTTGGGACTATTCTCGTTCAGTTAAGGGAGAACAAGATATGATTTGATAATGGCGTATAACATATTAGGTAGTCCAAGTCATTGTAACGCAGGAATCCTACCAGTTCATCGCCACCACGTTTCTCGAGGTAACCCCCGAAAAGTTCCACGTCAAAGGGCAAACACTTAGATACACCCCCATGTTCTGTCATCTGGAGTTTTTCACACTTGGAATGCTTTCTGAGCAAAAGTGACCACAGCTCCTTCAATGGACAGCTTGAACAGAAGACTTTACAAACAAGTAATCGCGCAAAGATTATCATCCCTCACTCGAACTAGTTCTACATGATGTATGTTTTGTAGATTGTGCCTTGTCACTTTTTTATGATGCACTGATTTATTCTCGTTTTTCATCCTCTGTTTTTTCCTCTTCATTGTCCGCACAATACGTTAGTCTTGCCTTCTACACTTCGAATGATTAACTATGTACCTTATTGATTTGTTTTTTCTGGATCATTCGTCTTCAGTCTACGTTTTTGAGTTCCTGCCTATTTTACAGCTCATTGCAAAGGACCGTTGCGCGAGCGTGTGATGTTGTTGCTGGTATCCATCAACCCTATTTCCTCTCACTAACCTATTCGACTAAGTAGACATACAAATTCATCAGTAACTGACAAGTTAATAAAATTTTTGGTATTGAATTCTAGACTAACACCCTTTAGACATTATCAAATACCTGGAACTGTACCGAAGCAACAAGAAGAAAGCGCAAAGATATAAGTTGGTTTATACTAGCTCGTGAAATATATATCGAAATTTTTGTATTGCTATATCATAATATTTTGGGAAGCTACTCTTAATTATGATTGTAAATGGCGAAAACGATATATCCGAATGTTTCCAGGATGTAGATTTTTCATCACTAGTTGGTCATTTAATAACGACAGGTTAATATTTTGAGTGAATAAGTGCTGTTTTTTATGAAATATTGAGATTTGGCGTCTATTCAGAGAACTGTTTTTGCAAGGTACCTAAAAATGTACAGTTCATCTCACTATTTTTCACTCAATAATTTTAATGCTACCTGACGAGATTAATATTACACAAGTATAACCTTAAACCATCTCCAATTTCGTTAAAATTATCAAGAATATCTACTCTGAGTGGCCATGTTTCACAGCCATAAAGTAGGACGGAGCGAACTGCTGCGCAGTAGACTCGTCCTTTGGTTAGCGGACGGATATTTTGCCTACGCCTTAAGTGACACTAGCTGTCAAAACCCAGTCGAACCTTCTGTATCCGAGCTGAGATTTCGTCAGTCGTCAGGCCATCAGCACTGATGAGACTCCCCAGATAAGTGAAGTGGTCAACACGCTCAACTGCTTCACTCCCTATCACTGGTTTAGGTGCCGAAGCAAGCCAATCCTGATGCAAAATTTTGCATTTCGACGGGGAAAACCACATCCCGAACATGCTTGCATTGTTTCTCAAGGTGGTCAGAAGACAGCATTTTGTCACGTCTTTAACAAGTAGAACTATGTCATCGGCATATTCTAAGTCAATAAGCGAGTCTCCTGATAGAATGTCCACTCCCAAAAAGTCAGACGAAGATAATGTTATCTTTAAAAGCATGCCTACGACAAAGATAAACGAGGATTGAGAAAGTGAACATCCCTGACGAACACCATTTGAAGTAATCGATTCTGATGACAGTTCGCCATATGCTCTAACTCGACCTGTAGTGTTCCAGTAGAGAGCTTGTATGAAGTTAATGTGCTCCTCTGGTACACCTTTCAATGTGTTACGTATGGCTAATCACCTACTGCCTCAACGAGCTTTGTTTTGTGGTGTAGGAGTAAGTTGGAAGAAAGTTAGTGGCGGCCAGACTAAAACATGGCAGAAATCCATGAAGCCACTGACAAGTGGACTGTGTCATGTTGGTAGATATAGACTACCTGGTCGGGGTCCGCGAGACGAAAGTCACCAATGGTTAGAGACCTTGAACGACATGGCTCAAAAACGTTTGCAATGGCGCAAGTGCATCCATTCTTTGAGCTCTCCAATCCTAATCTTCTGGATTCGTCAGCACCTCTATCTTTGTCTTTCTAAACGTATCTCACTGAATTATACTTCTTGAATAATATCTTCGAACCCTAGTCTTCTTCATTACCATTAATACCTCTACTATCTTTATCACTATGGGATTTGATTTGACATTTGCGTCTCTGTGTTAATGTGGTATGGCAACATGAACTTATGTACATACGTACGAAGTTTTACGTTGCAACTGACTGACTGACTGACACCTTTTAATGACAGACACTGCCACAGAACCTCACCATCAACAGAGTCAAATACCGCATTAAGGTCCAGGAAGACAATTATTGTCGCACGCCTAAATGTGTGTCTGTGTTCCAAGACCTGTCGTAGTGTGAAAATTTGGTCTATTCAACCACGTCCAGGTCGAAAACCAGCCCGGTATTTTCCAGTGTGCTCTTCAGGAGCTGTAGTTAGGCGTTTAAGTATTACTGAGGCTAGCAATTTGGACACTATATTAGTAAAACTGGTACCTCTGTGATTGTCACAAAAGGACTTTTGTGCCTCCCTATAATCGGGACAATCAGTGATTGAGACCAGTTGGATGGGATTACGCCCAGTTCCCAAATTCCACCCAAGATCTCAGTCAATCTAACTGCTGAATCTGGACCACCGTCCTTAAAAATCACAGGGGTACGCCTGTCGGGCCTGAAACTCTCCCTCGCTTTAGATTTCCTATAGTTTTCTCTACTTCACAAAGAGTCAGGGGACTTACATCGATTTGCCATTCGGGTTGACTGGACATCGTGGGCAACCGAAGTGTGGATGAAAGCCAATTGAACCGATCCCTCAAACGCCCTTCCCATCGATCCAGTCCCCTGGAGTGAGAATGAATAAGAGTAGCATCCTTTTCCGAGATAGTCTCACTTACAGTAGGATTCCTAATATCAGTCTCCTTGATAAGTCTGAATGGTTGTCTTCTATTTTCCATTGCCGCTACCTTTTCCATCTCTCCCGCTTTCTCTACTGACCACTGTCTGCGATCAGTGCGTAGGCTTTTTAGCAGCCTACGCCTAAGCTGACCCGCTCCTCATCGTGCTCAAAGCCAGACGGGATGAGTTTTCGAGTATCCAGTTCCATAGATGCTACTGAAATCTACCGCTTCTCTCTAATCTTATGGTTTACCTTACTGGTAGATATCACTGCTGTTTTCACAAATTTTTGGATATCATTCCAAGCTGCCTCAGGGTGGGTATCACTTATTTCATTGATGCCTGTTTTTCTAATTGTTCCTGAAATATATTCTTAGTATTTTTAACATTAAGTAGAACCTTAAGAGGTTTCCTTGCGATACTTTTCTTACGTCTATTAAGACAGACAAATACGCGCTCGCTATAGAGCATGGTCTGAGTCTAAACAAGTGCTCCAGAATGAGCGGCAGTCTTCAATAGAGTCTTTCCTCCGATGGCTTATAGCGATGTGATCTAGTTGGGTTGGCCTTTGGAGTCTTCATGCCAACATATATGTTCCCTTATGCTTAAAGTTAGTGTTTGCTAGAAGTAGGCGGTTATCTGAGCATAGCTAAAGCAGACGGTCGCCATTATCTGGTCTTCGAGCCACGACATCATGAGATCCACCCAGGTGTCTTTCCTTTTCACTTCGTCTACCTACTTCAGCATTAAAGTCGCCAGCCATTAATACTATATCAGAGGGCTTAAGTTTCTGAAGAAGTTTAGAGAGGTTTCTATAAAACTCATTTTTTACCTCGTCTGAACTGCGGTCATTGGGAATGTAGGCAGATACGACGAAGAGGCAACGACGAGTTTCCCTATCTTTTGGAGCCCTTGTTGTCCCGTTTAGTCGGACAGCGCATAGGTGACTGTCTACCGGGATCGAGTCTAGGAGAGCTAGTTGTGCCCTAAGACTCAATACTATACCTATACACCAGCGAGGCCACGGGAAGCAGCAGTAGAGCTTCCAGATACATGAAGCTTAAAACTATGTTGTTTCGCTACCTTCACAAGGTGAAATCAAACTGATGATTTTACTCAGATCTTGTATGCGCGTTTCGGAGTTTCAACACATCGGTGGCATGGGATTCCTGAGTCCTAGCTAATGAATCCTGTTATCTTATTTGACACAAGGTTCGAATATTAAAATTTTTAACATGTAGTTTAGACCTGGGTTTCAGGAGACTAGTAATAACGTTTCTTGAGCTCTAAACGTTTGAGTTAGCGGCGCGAGGTGACAAACGCTCGAAAGAAGGGTTGGTCGTGGAGATTTGTTGTGAGCAATTTGGTCTCGTGTGCCTTTACAGATATGAGGGCGGATGTCACTTCCGAGCTGCACACCGTGAAAGGGCTCTGGTTATCAGAAGGGGCATCGGCCTCATGGCTTTCGAAAAAACTCGGCTTTCATCACATGTCATAACTCTACTAGATGAAGAGCTAGCTCCCAGAGCAGAGTTTAAATGGTTTGAATTAGTTTTTCTTGTTAGCATTTTTTGGGGAGTTAGTTCTCTCCGGGATTGGGTCGCCAACATTTTGCCCAACCCTCCTCCTTTACCCGAACTTGGGACCAGCAGTAGCCTCGGAAGGTCTCTAGGCGGATATCTGTCATCACTCAATACGATAATTTTTTCGGCACAAATAATTGTCAGTAAAATAAATTTTCACAAGTCTGTGTTACATGAGAATTAAGTACGTAATTTAAAGTTATTTTTTTATAAGATAATTTTATTTTTCATCATACAACAATCAGTTGTTCAACGTTAGATTGTTTTATCTGATATACATATATATAACTTGTAAATATACTAGCGTCATTATGGTTTTGACAAATAAATAAGATATGAAGCTTAATGTTATTACACATCTGTGTGTTTGAGTTCAATTAAGTTCCTAATAATTAATAATTAACTTAATCATCTGAAATAATTGGATTTTTGCTTTACAGCAATTTATGATCCATTTAAAAGCAAATAATCATGAATGGTTTGTAATGCGTTATTATGCAGAATTTCATACAATTTATACAAAAGTAAGCAATACATATAAAAATATTCATTTTACTTTTGCCTAAAAAAAACACTCATTGACATGTTAAGTTGAAAGCATTGGACGATTGTAAAGGACTACAATTACCAGGAAGCAATCTATTAAATATGTTTACAAATCGACGTAAAGCTGTGTATAATTTTGTTAAAAAACTTGTATCCACTGATTTATTGATTAAAAAGTAAGATGTATTATCAAATAATTTCTTTATTGAAATTAATTTATTTTCATTATATCAAAGTAAAGATGTACAACTATTCCTTGATCTTCATAAAGCTAAAGAATTATCTAATGTAACTCCATGTCGAGGCAGAGATTCAGTAAGTAATATTATTCATTTTCTTTGTATAAAAATGTATTTAATCATGTAACTATTTTCCTAGAATCTAATTGATCTTGGACTAACAGAAGATAAAAAGTCAGTTCATTTGTAAATAATTATTTCTTCTTATAAAGAGCATCATTGGATGATTTTGAAATTGTGAAAACTATTGGTGAAGGAAATTTTGGAAAGGTATCTATGTAATTTGAAAATAAACTAATTTTTGTTGTTGTTGTTGTTGTTGTTGTTCATTTCGGATAATCTAATTCATGTAGAATAATTAAATTGACTACATTTTGTTTTTGATTGCATGTGCTAACTAAAAATTAAGTCAAACAAAATAGGATTTGTTTGATTAAGGTCAGTTACATGTACAATATACTAAATTTATCATTTAATAATTTGATATCCATCAATAGACATCATTAGCTTTGAGTATGTGGATAAGATAGTATTGGTATGTCAGATAGTCTCATCTGCAGATTAAGATTTCATATAGTTAGATACTGTTCAGCAAAAGCTGATTATTATTATTTCTTTTTCTGTATTTGATTCTGTGTCTGATTCAACCACATTTTTAACATGGGATCGAAGTTGTTTATTGTATCCTATTGCCGACATGGTCATTATGTTGTTAAGGATGAAACCTGTTCACATATTTGTTTAAACTTTATGAGTTACCAGGTTCAGTATGATGATAAATTTAAATGATCTAATATGAGTATGTATTAACCTTAGTTATACTAGTTAACCATACTGTTAGTTTATGCTGTTAGATTTCACTGTACCTAGGTAGTTAAGACATACTGTTATGTAGGAATTTTAGTGTAAACCTGGGATGATATTTTCTTCACGAGTGTGCATCATAGCACTAGTTTCAAAACAGAAAAAACAAGTAACATAATTAAAATGACTGTAATATTTAAAGATAGCTAAATTATGGTGAAGTTAATCAAAGCCGATTTTATTGAATAAATTAAGAAACTGAAAAAAACCATAATGTTCGATCACTTAGTTGAGAGAAATGTAGAATCTGTGACATATTTGCATTACACCGTGGTGCTACAAGATATCAGCATAGCGAGATGAAATTATCCAGACAAACTTCAGAGTAATGGGAATATCAGTATCAGTGCAGTAAGTAACATCATGCACAGAAAATACTATTCGACAAGGAAGAGAATATCTAGATCTGCCCCGATACACTAAATATACAATTCTGCTAGATTTCAAGTACAGACTACTTATGAGTTTCATATTAAAATAAAGCATCTCTTCAGGTGCTTCCTAGATCTAAAAGCGTTTTCATGAAGTCAAACCATGATTCTGGTTAAAAATTCATTAAGCTACATAAAAGTAATATTATTTGAATGTATTGAGTATCTTATCTTTTCACCACATTACTTGTAGTTTATAGTGAAGTCATTAGTATTTATATCAATATCTATACTTGTCTCCTATTTAACTGATCAGAAAATTATCTTTCAACCTAATATTTTCATCAAAATGATAATAATACATATTTTTATACATGCAAATAATTGCTCATTATATTTTCTCTTATTTGAAAAAAAACAAAAATATAATTCAAGGTTTATTTAGCTGTTTCACGTAAAACCAATCAAGCATTAGCAATAAAAGTACTCAAAAAAGACGCAGTTAAACAACGTAAAGAAGTCGATAATGTGATGTCTGAACGTAATGTGTTAGTTAAAAGTCTAAATCATCCATTTCTGTGTAAATTACACTTTTCATTTCAAAGTACAACTAAATTATACTTTGTTTTGGATTATATCAATGGTGGGGAGGTAAGTGTATCTTCACATTATTATAATAATTTGGTTTAATTCTCTTTATTCCAATCTTTAAGTGTGTAAATTTTAAAAAACAATACTGTAGTCATGAGTTATATAATTATATCTGCATGCCATTGATTTATCTAGTAATATATATATAGCTCAATTGAAACTGAGTTACAAGTTCAATTTTATCAGTTGATTTATTTACCATATGCACTGTGAATATACTGTCAAGTGCTTATTTACTTCATACACTGTTTCAGTTAGCTAAACGGTTAAATTCAAATAACTCTCAACAATAATTGGAATGCGAATGATGAAACAATAATCTGTTTATAATTTTACACATTGGCAATAAGAAGAGAACATGTTCTCTGTATTCACTGTTGTAGTAATTTCATGAGACAGTCTTAGGCTAGCTTTAATCATTATTGTTTCCACTGGAAGTATTTATTTATATAATATTTACCTTGAAAACTGTGCACTTAGTTTTTGCACAAACTTTAGTCGCATATCATTAGAATTAATTATATATGATGTAGTTTATGATCAAATAATTTGAAATTCGTGTTACTTCAGTATAAAGGTAGTTTAATTAATTGTATTTAATTTTATGTTTAGATAGTCATAAATGAAAAACCTAAGTGAAATTGTTTTAAATTTATCACAATAGTTTAACCATATCTACATATTTACATTTATTTAGGTAATGAATATATATTATTACTGAAGAACTCTTCATTTTTTGTGTTTATATGTAATTGTTTCATCCTTGTTCATTGTCCATTTCATGATTTTGTTTTGTTATGCATTCTTTTGTTTTCTTATTTTGTTAAGAACTAAAAAAATAAAACGAAGTACTTTTCTGTGTAACAAACACTACATTATTATGTTTGCTTGCTGCTAAAAGATCGTATTTTATGGTTTGTTTATTCTGGACATTCTAGATTATTAAAATAATTCTCTAGAACCATGAATTAATTAGATAAACTCTAGTAATTAAAACCTTTGATAAAAAATACATCAAATTTTGACAAATAGTAAATGGCAGAAGCTACTTATTATCACTGTACTCGGACAACTGTTTGTTTCTAGAAAGCACCAATGTTAAGCACAAAGAGAATCGCTGTTAGGCTTGAAAATTGTAGCCATCTATCCAACAACAGACTATATCATTATTAGAAGTTGGCAGAGACTTTCAACAAATGACCACTGTCTCTTTTAGAGTACATTTTTATTTCAATCTTACTCTCGTATAAGATAAACTTCAGAAGGCTGAGAATTTTCAGTCTTCAGTAGCCTAAGACAATATCCAAATTGCTGTTAAACGAAGGTGACATACATGAGTTACCCATGTTGAAATGTTCAGAAAAATCAATGGATTCCAGTAGTGTTAGCCGAATTAATAGACACTGAAATTTCATACCAGTTCATACTTCAAAGTGGCCTTCTGCATGTACGGTTACATTTCTATTTGGATTGAATCTACATACTTTAGCCTTAAGAAAGTTTCCTGGTTTGTGAACAAAAATTCAATAATATCATTTTCAAAATAAGTTGTGTTTTCAGTAATATCCTTCCGTGTTTTACAATCGGAAACACAAATATTGCATTTGTTTGATTATAAAAAAGCGATAATAAAATTAAAACAATCATTAAATGAATTTCAGCCACCATAATTCTTTCTTTTTTTTATTCAAAACTGATACTACAATGATGTGTGATGTTTTAATAATGTTTTTTTTTTGTTTGAAAACATGACATATTACTAATAATCGAGTAAATGTTAATGAATTATATACAGTTCCTTTTACTGGATATTGTCTGAAGTTTGTGCTGATGATGTTGTTCAGAAGAACCATTAAAGCTCCACAACCAAAACAACCAGCTCAGAGAACAAAACACCACCATAATTGTCATTAAATGTTCCATGATAATATCAAGGGTTGGTAGACTGAATAGACTATAACTAAGCAATTAAATTCAAGGTGAATATTTCATTTTGTTTACTTTAAGTCTCTGTGCAGGCATCAGCACCGAGATCTAAGTGCATCAAGTTGGTAAGTTGTAAATTAAAAAAAACTCATATGATCTATTACACTGCTAGCCTTAATCCATCCACTGGTGAAAAGTGGTTATACTAAGCTATTTTACTTAGAAAGCATATATCTCAGCTAAGACTGACCAAAATTCAGTCTTGAATATGAACAGCAAGAGAATTCAACTTGTTTCTAGTAATAATTTATAAACTTAATGCTAACTACCGACAGAAAAAATATTGTTTATATTTAAATAAAATCGTGCAATTCAAAATCAACACATTGAAGACCGATTTCTCAGCCAAATTCTCGATTATTAGTAGTAAATTTAGTCAGAGAAGAGGAAAACTACCGTTTCCAAGTAATGAGATTACATAAATAAGCATGTCTAAAAGTGGAAAATATTCCTAGTATGCTGTGTTGGATTACTAAATTGCTTTAATGTAAACAAAAGCAATAAAAATTTGATATTCTATCAGGAATCTACTTCATATTGAAATTCAACCAATTTTTTTTTCTAAATAGTTATTTTATCATATTCAACGTGAACGAATGTTTACTGAGACACGAGCACGATTTTATGCAGCACAAATCGCATCTGCTCTAGGCTATTTACATTCAGAGAATATAATTTATCGGTAAGTGATTGTTTAGTATTAACAAATCAATTTGCCAATAATCAATTTATAAATAAATTAACATTGGACCTAAGTTACAACTGACTATTGAACTGTGAACATTATTCCTGCTCGATTATCAGGCATATCATTAATAAACAACAGGTTTTTTATACTCAAAAAACAATAATAACAAGTTTATAGTACAGCTCTAGAAACGTATATAATGCATAAATATATAGTTGACAGGAATTTAAGTTATACTAGTAGTCGAACAGCTCTAAGCCATGTTATACAATATGGCTTTGTTCAAGCATCATTGAAATTTATCATGTAATCTATGATGTTAACAGTAATAATAATATAATAATGTGAACGGGATACACATCTAAACCATCTAAACATATTTTAAACGTATCTATAACAGACTCTGTACTTATTATAAATAACTGATTGCAATTACTTATTACCTATGAATTGTATTTTATTCTGTCGATGGTGTTTTCTTAAAACACTACACGCGCGATTATGAATAAAACTCTATTCTATAAGCATGTAACTTAATCAGAATTTAAACTATCCCTTCGTTATATCAAAAAAAACTAAAAGTCATATGTAAATATAATATATATATATATATATATATATATATATATCTATTAATAAAACTTTTAAATATCTTATTTTTATGCTTAAGAGAAAGAGAATACATAACCTTTCAAGTATGCAGTATTCATAGCAGGGGTGAAATTTAGGTTGCGCTTTTCGTCCAATTTTGGGACTCGTTAGCTGGATAAACCTGAACCTCAGAGTTGATGTTCACTCCGAGACATATGCCGATGAGACTGATCAACTGCAGCCCTAAACATCAATACAAATGAATTATATAGTATTAATATTTTATTTTTAGCCATTTGAAAAGATTCTAATTTTTGACCAACGTGGTTTGTGTTATAAAAGCCATTTCATGTTTATTACAAAGTAAACTACTGAAAAATATCACATTAAGATTTATAAGTTAGACCTCAAAGTGTTCCTGTAAAGCAGTACTTCTTTAAGTAACACAATACTGTGATATAAGAACCTTGTTCTTTTTCATCAGATTAATCAACATTAATAATTGAAAGAGAAATAACGAGCCTCATAATTTATTTTAAGTTAATTTCTAACACATATTTCTGCATAACTAAGTATTTGAAGTGATTTGGTTTGATCAGTTGTTCATTAAAAAAAATAAATAATCAGATAGACCCTACCTTTTGAACTCAACCCTCTGTGGGTTGGTTGATGTACACTCCTGGGTAGTCTCTGTCTGAAAACAAAACAGTCATCTAATCCTTTCAGGTTTTCAGCAGTTTTCTATCTAAGATTACTCCGTGGTGTAACCTATAAATTCTGTTTCAATGTTTTTGACATTTCATCAAAATTGAATTCGAATGAGCTGCTATAAAAATTTAATCTATATCTTTATTTTGCATTGTTGTTTGATTTAAAAATAAAATAATAAAACAAGCTGAGTGGTGATATCAGTAAATTAATTAGAAAATAGGAACGAAGTTGGTAAAGTTATCCCTCCATTTCTCATCATAAAACAAATGTGCAGTAATCTACCATTCTCCGGCATTTTCTCATTGATTTAGTAAGTGAGTACTGCATATAAGCGTGCAACTTTCAGTAGAGATTTCATTTCAGCCATTTGGAGTTGTCTATATTTGCTTGCTATAAACACATCAGCTTATAATGTCGCGTTATCGTAGATGAAATGCACAAGCATAGGGAAGGTGAAGGTTTGAAATGAAATTTC